CCGATTTGTCCTGTCAAAGAACTGCATGGTGATCTTCTGTGCCCTGATATATAACACATATATACCAGATTTTTTTACATCATCTGAAAAGGCAATTGTGTCTATTGGGATGTCTCATCATAATATTGCAATATTTAGTGCACAATATATTTTAGGGAAATTTCGTACATTCCTAGGTTGGTGAGGTATATTTCCATCAGATGTTGGAAAAGCAAGATAAAAAAAGAGGAACTAGTATTTCACAGGTATAAATATGCCATTTAGCTGGATTTCGCTTAAAGAAGGGGTAGGAGGTGAATATTTCCATAAATAATATTGGCTATAAGAACAATCAAATGGTTTTTATATGTAGCTGGAGTAAAACTCAATGCAGTTCTGCGAGGATTCAAACAATTACAAAATTCTAGGCTTTTGCTGCAGCATGAGGGCCCAATCCAACTCCCTTTCAAGTCTTTAGTAGGGGTTGCATCAGATCCTAAATCCAAAGAGAAATGTCCTCCTGTTGACTTTTCTATTCCCTTTGCAAATCCTGTACAGTGTGCTATTAAAATTCCAGGGTTGCTAAAGTAGTTGTCAGGGATAGTACTTGGTCCTGCTGTGAAGGCAGGGGACTGGACTCGATGACCATTCAAGGTCCCTTCCAGTTCTAGGAGATAGATAGTTTAAAGCCACCAGTCACAAATGTTTAAAATTAAGACAAAATTACCAAAGCCCCTTATTTCTCGTACAGTGTAGGTGGCATGTAGGGTTTTATACATAACTTTTCTTTGGACAAATTCCATTGAGACTCCACTTCCAAAGAGAACGAATAGTGTTTACTTTTGCCTTTCAGTCAATTTCTTCTTGCAATTGGGGTGAAGAATTAAGATTGGTTAATCTGCCTTTTGTCAGTTAGACCTAGGGTTTTTTTTACTGTTTCTGAACAATAGCCATAATAATAGTTCATGAAGATTTAAGAGGTGGCAACTGTTCATGAACCAATAGGTGTGTGGGTTAGATAGTCTCCCTAGCTTCAGAGACCTAGATGAAATCCCAGATGAGCCTCCAGTTATAGTGTGAGTAGTTGGAACTGAACTTGGGACCTCTGTGCATGAGCTTCTACTGCTTGAGCTAAGAGCCAGCTGACACTCAGAGAAGGCTGCAGATCAAATTCATTTCCTCTCTCTCTCTCTCTCTAAATGGTCTAAGTGCCATTACATTGGACAGCACACCACACCCAGTAGATGTGTGAGATACAACTGCCCATGTTGAGATTCCCCCCCAGTACTCCTACAGCCTCCTTAGCTGCTGGAAGTAGCATTATGAATAGCTCAGCGAGCTCTCTGTGCTGAGGAATGTCAAAACAGAACAGCAATCTGTCCCTCTGCAGCGGCAGTCTACCTGTCACTATGTTTCTAGTGCAGGGCAGAACAGGAGCAGTCCAATGATTTGCTCTTTGTTCCCCAAATGGACCAGCACACTCAGCTGCCAGATATTTTCTGGAGTTTTGAAAGCAGGGGGGTGCATACCCTCAGAGCCATCAGGACAGGCATTGTGTGATAGAGGCGGAAGTCAGTTTTGTCAACAAAACATGCAGTATAGTATATAAACTGGCTCTTTGTCGACATTAAGCAGAGGGGTAGGGCTGCTGAGCAGGGAGGTGGGGAAAAGGTGCACAGGGGCAGTTTCCCCAAGGACTGGTGATTGAAAAGGGCCAGGAACTGCCCTACCACAGGAACAGCAATGAACAGAGTTCCAGGCCCTTCAAATAACCTAACCACGCTTCTTCCATGCAAGGCCCCACCCCTTCCAGAGTGTGGAGCCAAGTTCCACCCACCTCCCAACCTTGCCCATAAGCTCAGTAAGTCTGCGAGCCCCCTTGAAAAGGGGAAAATTTAAAAGGGTCTCCTGAAGGTGGAAGTTTTTTGTAGCCAAAACTTGGCATTTTTTTCCTGAGAAAAGTCACATTTCAGCATGTACACTCTCACTGTTTTATTGCCAAAAAGCGACAAAACATGGTCATGAAGCCATATTCCTTAGTGTGCATCTACACAGCAGGGCTTAACTTGAAATAAGCTATACAAATTGAGCTATGCCAATTGCGTAGCTTATTTCAAAATAGCTTATTTAGAAATTGTGAGTATCTATGCAACACTTATTTCGAAATAGAGCACTCTTCCTCCCACTTCCCTTACTCCTTGTACAATAGGGGTTACAGGAGTCACAGTAGGCAGTCCTCCAGCTTGACAGTATTTCAACATTATTTCAAAATAACTGCCTGCTGTGTAGATGCGGACTAAGTTATTTCAAAATAATGTTGCTGTCAAAGTTCAAAATATTTAAAGCACTTTGTGCTTCAAAGTGAAGTGGCCCATGAATACCATTCCAGCCCAGGGAGAGGAAAAAGGCAGCTTGCAGCATTGTTACTGGGTCATAGAATGGTGTAATAAGCCATGAATCCAGTGTCTCTATTCAGTCAGTGATTTTTAGTGTCCAGAAAAGTTATGAATTTAAATTGGCAGGCTCCTCTTTTGAAGTTGTTCTACAGATTTACTTTGAGGATAAGGACTGAGGGTATGTCTACACTACCGCTCACTATCAATCTGACACCTCAGGGTATGTCTACACTACCCCGCTAGTTCGAACTAGCGGGGTAATGTATGCATACCGAACTTGCTAATGAAGCCCGGGAAATTCAAATCCCGGGTTTCATTAGCAAGTTCGGTATGCATACATTACCCCGCTAGTTCGAACTAGCGGGGTAATGTATGCATACCGAACTTGCTAATGAAGCCCGGGAAATTCAAATCCCGGGTTTCATTAGCAAGTTCGGTATGCATACATTACCCCGCTAGTTCGAACTAGCGGGGTAATGTATGCATACCGAACTTGCTAATGAAGCCCGGGAAATTCAAATCCCGGGTTTCATTAGCAAGTTCGGTATGCATACATTACCCCGCTAGTTCGAACTAGCGGGGTAATGTATGCATACCGAACTTGCTAATGAAGCCCGGGAAATTCAAATCCCGGGTTTCATTAGCAAGTTCGGTATGCATACATTACCCCGCTAGTTCGAACTAGCGGGGTAGTGTAGACATACCCTGAGGTGTCAGATTGATAGTGAGCGGAACAGAAAATGAAAAACAAAATCATTTAATTGAAAGTCCCCAATTGATGAAGCCACACCTGGATCATAGCATTGATTGCTTTAGGAGGGAAAATGACATGAAATCATTAACCAACAGATACTGACCAAACCAGAAGACAAAGGGACAAAGCATAGTAGAAAGTCAGGTCCAATGAGTGGACAACTGGCTGCCAAATAATTGATTCTTGCATGGCACACTGAGCCTGACTAACCATTGTCTCATTCTGATGGATTTCAGTGCTATTGCTACAGGATATAATTGAAGTAATTCGTTGACGAATCAAGCCCATTATACCAACAAATGCTGACTACAACTAGTGAGGCTCTATGGGATGGTATTCATGTTTTATGTTTCATAAGAACTTCTGGATTTCTTTGGTTCACTGTTTATCCTGGATGCTTTCCCAAGAACATGGTATTATATCCTGATCTTTTCTCAGAGAAAATTTAGTCTAGAGAAATGTGAATAACTTACTCTGAAATAACTAACCTCAGGGAAAGCTAAAAAAATAGAATAAATGCAATGGGTAGAGGTATGCAAAGTTACTAGTATGATGCATAGATGGTGATGCACTAAATATAAACCATTCAAATGGCACTTAAGTGACAGCTTCTGTTGAGGGGAGACCTATATTATGGAAAATGATGCCATTTCATTGATGTCATTCTGAGTGAGATGCCATTGATAGACCTACAGGACAGAAAGTGTTGTTGTTTTTTTATTATGATATCTTGTAAATATTTGAAAGGAAGGAGCTATTCAGAAGTCTTACCTAAGCAATATAATCTTTTAGGGTATGTCTTCACTAGGAAATTATTTTGAAAAAATAACTCCTGAAATAACTATTTCAATATAGTGTATCCACACTACAGAGAAGCCTCAAAATTAGTCCAATGCAGGCTTTCTTAATGTGGACACGCTACCTTGACTTAGAGTTCCAGGAAGCACTGGGGAGTAATTACTTTGTCTTTGGGGAGCAGTAATTCGGAATAGCAGCAGTGGTGCATCTACATCACCTCTATTTAGAAATAACTATTTCAAAATAGGCATTATTCCTCGTGGAAAGTAGGAGTTATTATTTCAAAATAACCAGCCCCTTATTTAGAAACAACAGGCTTGGTAGTGTGGATGCTTCACTTGTTATTTTGAAATAACTCCCTAGTGTAGACAAGGGCCAAGAGAACATGACACACTCAGTGAAGCTATCGGCAATCATGGACTTGTATCTACCATAGGTACCTTTAGCTTTTGTATGTGACAAGGAGTGGCAGAGGCAAGCTTTCTAAATTACATTTGACAGAAACCTGTTTCTTTCCAAGGAACTGAAATGGAATCCCCTTCTTTCCTTTCCTGCCCCTCACGATTCTATTCCTGTAAGATTAACCCACTGCAACATTTTCTTAGGTGTTCTGTCATCTCTTATTCATTACATTGACACAGCTCATGTGGCTGGGCACTATGTTTTATGCAGGGCCATTGTGCCACTTCTTCAAAGGATTCAGTCAAAGCTTTCCCAGGTTGTGTGGTAAATGTTTTTGATGAGCTGCGAGAGGTAAGCTCGCCTTGAATTTTTTGAAGCTCTTATTCTGTCAGCACTTATTCTCTGCTGTTCTGTGCAGCTAGTCACAACATCTCATGTTGGCGGAATGTGATGCATGGCCTTTCAGTGATGCTATGAATTATAATGTGATATTCTGACTCTATGGAGGTGTGGCTAGCACTGCTCTAGCTGAGGTTACAATTCCCACATGTTTAAAAGGACCTGTTAATTTGATGACAGGAGGAGCTTCCAAAAATGCAAATCAATAACAAATAAAAAAGTAAGCTTCACGAATGCTTAGATTAATCCTCTCAATGGTTACCTGTGGGCAGGTTGGTTACTGGAAAGATATGGAGCAGGAAGAAGCAGCAGAAAAAGTCAAAACTGAAGGAAATGAGTCATCCACCATTCTGACAGGATTAGAAGGCAACACATTATACCATCTAACAGTGAGGGCATACAATGTAGCAGGATATGGACCACCGAGCGGCGCAGTCCATGCAGCCACCAAGAAATCCCGTAAGTGACCTGGACTCATTGCTTTGTGTGGAAAAAAGTCTCAACTCTTCTGGATTTCCCTTTAGCTGGGATATAGAATAAGCAGAGCTGATATATATCTTTGATTCACAAGCATGCTTCTGTGCTTAGCTCTGAATAATTTTGAAGTGACGTGACAAAATTTGCATTTACAACAGACAAATGTTATCTTCCTGGAAAAAAAGGCTAAGCATTTTTGACACAGAAGAGAGATAAAAGGATTGAGATTCATAAGCTCTGGACTGCCACTATTAAAATGACATTCCTGGAGCAAAAACTACCTTACACTATAACCTCCCTACTCTGGGTGTCCCTACTTTGGCAGGCACCCATGGTAGAGACCCTGGCAGGTAGAAGTGGCTCTAAGTGCTGCCGCTCCCTCTTCCCCCCCTCCCCTAGCTGGGGGGACAGCACAGCAAAGTGCTCTGCAGGAGGCTTTTCCTTGCTGCTCCCATCAGTGGGGGCAGGGGAGGCTGTGCCTGGGAGTGGCAGGGAAGGCGGAGTAGCGGGTAAGCACCATGCCCTCATTTCCCTCACTCCTTCCCTGGCAAAACCTTTAATCCAGCAATCCTTGTTTTCCAAAACTGCCAAGTTAAAGATATTCAAGTGTATTGGACTCAGCTAGAGAAGGAAGCCTGGAAATGCAGCCAACCATAAATGAAATAAAAGACTATAATGCTCACCGAGGTTTTTAAAAGTATGTTTTAAGTGCATAGTGTCATTTTCTTCTTTTTTTCTCAGCACCCAGCCAGGCACCAAGCAATATTATGTGGATGCAAGATGGCTCTCATGTGTCTCTGGGATGGGAGCCTGTTAGACCTCTAGCAAATGAATCTGATGTAATGGGATACAAGGTCAGTCTTAGCCCTCTCTCACTCATCTTCCATCTACCCTTTTCTTGCTTGCTTGCTTTCTGTATTGTGCAAATCATCTGCAATCTTAGTCCACTCACTCATATATAGAAAAAAAGCATTGAACTAAATAGTGAAAAAGAACTAAGTATCCCAATACTTCTCTATGTGATATTTTCCAAATGGTGATTGTCAGCTGCTATTTATAAACTAAGAATGCACATTCTGAGGTTATTACTCCATCACATCTGGTCCAGAAGTGGCTATTAATAAGACCAGGTTGCAGTGAAATCCCTGTTAACACTTCAATTTAACTGTGTTTGCAGTAGATTTAGAGGAATGCAGAAGGATAAAGCATCTTAAATACAATTAAAATTAATATTTTTAATAGAGCAGAACTATTAATATTGAGATTTGTTATGATTATGTTGGTGGTATTCAGCAGTCTGTGACTGTAACATCTGGCATTTTAAGTTTTTAAATTTTAAAGAATGAAGGCAAAACAAAAAATAATACATAATATAAAATAGGGAAATCATAGGAATCCCAGCTCATTGGTTTCAATCAAAACAAGATTAGATAGATAGATAGATAGATAGATAGATAGATAGATTATGTCTTCTTCTGAATAATAATATTTTGAAAAAATACATACATACATACATAATTATACCATGGAATACAGCGTCCAATACTCTCTCTATCACTACAAATATCATATAATCAGGAAAGTGTAAATTTAACTGGATAAAATAGAAACTACGTTAGCTTTTATCAAAATGTTTGAGGTTCATAAAATGTTCAGATATGTTTTTTATATTTTCTCTAACCTTCTCAATTTTTCCTGGGAATAGATAGATATCTATGCACTGAAATACAGTAAGGACAGCTACAGATGCACTTACATTCTCACTGAACCAAGACAAGGGTGCACTGAATTTTACAAGAGAGAAGGCAGGGGTCAAATCTTCAGTTCAGTTACTTAGCTGGTTTATACCCAATGAGATTCTACTTCAGAGCATCTTTATTCAGTTTGAAGCTGGACACCCAAAATAGCTGGATATCCCTTTGACTGTTTTGATACATTTACTCTGAAAGTATTTTTGATGTTCACTTTCACTTTAATTAGTGTCTGTGAGTTTACTCAGAACTGGAGGACAACTACTGAATCGTCATCACTGATGTGATCTATTAGCCGGTCAAGTATTTCCAATGATTTCCATGGACTTTGACTTGGATTCAGTGTCTTTGACAATATTTTGAAAACTGCTTCAGAAAAAAGAAAAGACCAAGCTCTCTGTCTAAAGATGAAGAGCTATATCCTCCATTCCTTTAGTGGCAATTTTGCCTAAATAAAGGATCCTGTATTTAATCTAAAATTATTATAGTCATTGGTGCTGGAACAAGTTTTCAGTGGGGGTAATGAGCTGTGCCCTACCTATCTTACTCCATCCATGCCTCCCGTTGCTCCAGATTGGGGCCATAGCTGGGAGCAGCTGTGGAGCCCCAAGCATGGGGCAATGGTCAAGGCCCAGGTGCCTCAGAAGAGATGCAAGAACCCCAGGTGTCATCAGAGCCTCTGGTGGCTGGAATGCGGGGCCAATTGCAGAGCCTGTGAGGCCAGTGGCTAGGACCTCTTCGTACTGCAGCACCCCTCTCCACCTATACTTCCTGCATCTATGATTATAGTGATCCTAAAACTCCTGTGTCAACCGTAGGTCTTGTTTAGGCAAGAAGGCCACAGCAACAGTCAAGTAATTGAAACACAGAAAACCTCCGCAGTTGTACTTCTACCTGATGTTGGGGTCTATATCATAGAGGTTCGTGCAGTCAGTGAAGGAGGGGATGGAACAGCCAGCTCGCAAATCAGGGTACCATCTTTTTCAGGTAAATGCACTATTATTTTGAATACAGACCTGACATGTTCCTAAAATGCTACACTTGCTTGAGATTTGTTAACCCCAAAGGATAATAAGTTATTATGTAAAGTAATTGGTTAAATTATTCAGTGTTATGGCTATAAAGTAATTGAATATACAACTATGAAGATCCAATAGGATTGTGGGTACTTATTTATGTCACACAGTATGTATGAGATAGTGTTTCAGAACCAAACACCAAACACTGCTAAGAACTGTCATCCCACTTCACTGAAAAGTTCATGCACTTTCAGGAAGATTTCACACCCTACCTGCATCTGCATTCCTAGTATTCAGTACATTGACTCATCAAAACTTTCTGGACACTGTAATAGAATCACAACCTAAGACATATGAATCTAACCCAGATCCTTCCTAGCTTGTGAGCAGCTGGTGCCACGTCTTACTGAACTAACCAATGCCTCATACAGGAAAAGAGTTTTTCATTCTGCTTTCAAACTCCTAATACCCTGACCAACTCCAAAGAAACCCACACTGAATACTTTAGTTCTAGACAATTTTCACCTCCTGTTCCTAATCAAGATTATAGATAAGCTAACCAAAGACCAGCTTCAGATTCATCCAAATGAAACTAATATCCTAAACTTGTTACAATTTGGATTCAGGCCAGGACATGGGATAGAAACGGCTTTAGTGGCACTTATGTCTGTCAGTGGATAGAGAACAGACATCCATTCTCATCCTCTTGGACCTCTCTGCAGTGTTTAACATTGTCAGGCAGGAATACTGCTTCCTAACTTGAGAGAGGTGATAGGGATCCAAAGTAATATGCTAAAATGGTTGGAATCATTGCTGGAGGGTGTCCCCAACTAATAGTACTGGCTGGGAAACTGCATCTTCACAAATAGACCCTTCAGTTGTGGAATCCCAATTGTATCAGTTCTCTCTCTGATCCTAATTAACACCTAAATACAGCTGTCATTAGATTAACTGGTCAGACTACTACATGTGCTAGCAGTATGCATATGACTCACAGCTTTAACCATCCTACACCACATACCATTCCCATCAAGATGACCCAGTGTTTGGATGAGCTTCATTTATGAACTTCTAATGGAAGCTGAACCCAAGCAAGACAAGGGTTATGGTGGTGAACAGAGGAAAGCACTTTGGAAAATTTGCAGCAACAGTGCTGGCTCTCTTGTTTGATGGTACCACCTAAAATTGGTTATCTCAGTCCACAGTTTAGGAGATCACTTGTATTCCACAACAACACTGAACTCTCATGTAGTAACATCTACCAACTCTGGCAGGCTAGGAGACTCTGTCCTATCCTGGAAGGCAATGACATGGCCTCAGTTATTGAAGTCTTCTTCACCCCATGGCTAGATGACATCAAATTAATATTCTTGGGCATAAAGCTTTCAACTGAGGCTGAATGCTGAGCACATCTCAGCAATACGGGCTACAGAAAACTATCAAACTGTCCTCTGCTCTTTACTCTGGCTTCATATAGAATTCTGAATAAAATCCAAGGTCTCAACCTTATCTTCAAAGACCTCAGTGGCCTGACTCCAGAATATGTAAAAGGCTGCCTAAAGCTCCAAGATAAAGATTGTGTCATCAATAAAATGAATGTGAAATGTGCTCCCATAAGAAGTAAGGGCCACTATAAATTACACCACCTTCCTCTCCAAATGCAGGTCCCATTTCGTTCACCTTACTTTCTCGAGCATAAACATATAGCATGTATATAAATATATATTATTAGAAAAATTTCCAAAACACTCCACTGCACACATCTCTCCCCACTACAAGAGGGTAAGAGAACAAATATGTAACAGTTATTAGTCGTGTTTTGCATTGGTTTAGGCGGAGTCAATCATTCCTATATAGACTTTTCTTTTCCAAAAGATTTTCCAGTAATAAACCTAAATCTGTTCTCTGAACATCATTGTCTCACCCATGTATTGAGACTCTGCAGATATGCCTATCTAAATGGCCCTGAACATAGAACTAGACTCATTTCACAGAATGTAACTTTGGTGATCCTGGAATTTAATCTCTTCTCAATAGCAGCCTAAAGTTGGTCTCCACTTCACAATGAATGAAATCCTTCCATTTTGTTTTAACTGAATGAATTAATGAACACTCAAACCAAGATTCTCCTCTATAACTAGTTCTTCTATGACAGGGGTTGGGGGCCACTGACCCACAGAAAAATCAGTAGGGGGCTGCACACAAGTGAGAAACTGTGAGTGGCCCCAACTGAGAAGGAGAAAGACATTCCCTACATGCCCTTCGCACACCATAGCCTAGTGGGGCCCAGGCTAGTTGTGAGATTGTTTTATTGCATTTTATGATTGTAGTCAAAGAGCTTGGGCTCTGACATGCAAAGAACTATATATTTCCCATTCAGGGTGGTTAAGCACTGGAATAAATTGCCCAGGGAGGTTGTAGAATCTCTATCACTAAAGATATTTAAGAGCAGGTTAGATTAAAATCTGTCAGGGATAAGTTAGATCAGGACAGGCAATAATTTTTGATGGGTGGGCCACTCCAAGATTTTGGAATGTGGACAAGGGCTGCACTCTTCCATGTTATTAATGGAGGAGGCACAGGGTCTGGGAGCTTGGGGTAAAGGATTGGGATAAGGGATTGTATGGGGTCTGAGAGGGAGTTTGGGTGAAGGAGGCAGTTATGACCTTGGACACGGGACTGGGGTGCAGGAGGGTGTACAGTGGTTGGGGTGTGACCTAGAGCAGGAAGGGGTTGTGACCTGTGGCAGGGGATCAGAGTTCAGGGGTTTAGTTTATGACCTAGGACTGGAAGGTGCTGTGACCTGGGGCAGGAGATTGGGGTGCAAGTTTGGGTATAGGGGCTTGGATTGTGACTAGGGCAGGAAGGGGTTGTGACCAGGGTCAAGGAATTGAGGTGCAGGGATTTAGGTTGTGACTTAGGTCAAAGGTTTGGGGTGCAGGATCTGGGAAGGAATATAGGTGCAGGAGGGGGGCAGAGAGTTTGGATTATGCGGGGTAGGAGAAAGACGTGCGGAGGCAAAGCGTTGGGGGAAGGGAGGGTCTGGGGTGCCAGAGGCAGGCTCTGACTGGGAGATTTACCTAAGGGACTCCCAGCCAGCAGCCCAGCACATTTCTCGGGCAGGATCCCTTCCTGCCCCACTCCCGCACAGGCTGCAAGGGCCATGTGCACCTGAGAATAAGAGCTGGAGGGGAAGGGCAGCAGTGCTTTGCATGCTGCCTGCTCTTCAAACAGGCAGCTCCAATTGGACAGAAACTGGGCAATGAGATTGTGCTGAGGTGGGGACAGCACATGAAGCCTCTCCCCAAGCCTCCCCCACAGCTGTTAAACACAAATGCTTTTCTGAGTGGCATGCAGGAGGGAGTGGGGCAAGTAGGGAGTCTGCCTGAGGCTCCCTGCTGTGTTTGCGGGCTGAATCCAGTGGCTTGGTGGGCTGTTTTGCCCAGGCCTGATTCAGATGGTCCTTGGTCCTACCATGAGTGCAGGAGAATGACTTGATGACCTCTCAAGGTCCCTTCCAATTCTAGTATTCTACGATTTAATGCTCTCCCTCTCATCCCAGGTGCAAGGCTTGTTACCATGTCAAAAGAAAGCTATTAGCTTGGTTTGACTTGATTTGTTCTTGACAAGTATGAAAAGAACAATTTATTCCATTTGTTCCTTGCTTATTTTTGTTTTTCATTTCAGGTGGAAAAGTTACAAGCTCTCAATCCACTTTACATGTTTTCTCTACTTCCTCATCCTCTATAACGTTGCTCTTGGCACTGATGGTCCCTTCCACCTCATGGTGAAGACTGCAGACCTTTCGTTTTTTCTGTTGTTTGTTTGCTTTAGCTTGATAACACCAATGGATGGAGCTTTGTGTCCATGAAGAAGCTGGAACCCTAAGCTAATGCTTAAAGACCCATAGAAATACACATGGTGCACTTAGAGGAATGTTGGGAAAATGATAAATAATTCATCAGGTTTTTTCTTCAGTTTTTGTAAATGTCCTCTGTTTGGGGAGGGGACGCTTATTGGCCCAACAAAAATATGCAGATTGTATGTAATAAACTTTTGTAAGCAAATGTAATTTCTGTCAGATGTACTTTACTTTTTTAATATGTTTATCTTTGGTGATCCCCAGTTGTGTACCATTAGTTGTTTAATAGTGGTGTCTAGTACAGTACATTGGTTTTGTTTGGGATATTTTAAATGACTGAAGTTTGATGAGGACTTTCAATCTAGTGCTTTTCTTGCTTCCCATAAGGCTGGCTGCTTACAGTGACAAGGCAGTAGGAGAGAAGAAAAAGTTCAGCTATATGGCCCACTGGATAAGTTCAGAAATATTTTCTGGAAAATGTATGAATACATATTAAATTAGCAAAAATTGTCAATCAGATATTTTGAAAGCACGTCCAGAGAAAGAGAACAAAGCAGAGAAGAAGCCATTGTACTGGTGGAACATAAACTGGAAATGATTGAACATACGCTTACAAGGAAATAAGTGCTATTGTTTTTCATCAGATATTGTACAATTTAACTGCAGAGGAAGTAAATGTTTATTTTAATAGAAAAATAAATAATCTAAATTTATTAGCATGGAAACCACAATTGGGCATTTAATCAAAACATACAGTAGTTGCTAAATGGGCAAATCAAAGGAATGCAAGGAGACAAATCTGCTGCTTTTTTTCTGTCAGTCTTGGATCTTTATTTTTTAGTTCTTTTTTGTATGGTACTGTACTTTCTATATTTGTTAATTAAGCTAAAGCTGAAGTATAACACTGCATTTCATGAGGAGACCATAATATTTCATGGATTGTAGTCATGCAGACATGCACAATTCAATTAGAATATAGTTTGGGGGCTGGAGTTTCCCAAATGACACACAGATTTCCAGCTGGGAAGGTTACTGGATCTTTTTTTATGGATCACCAGAAAGGGCATGTCTACACAGCAGAGTTATTTCAGAATAACTGACATTATTCTGAAATAACACAGACCATATCTACACTACAAGCCTTTATTTCAATATAATGTTGAGCTAGAGGACTATTTACTCTGACTTATGGTAGCCCTCATTTTATGAGATGTAAGGGAGATCAAAGGAAGAGTGTTCTTCTTTCAACTTCCTGCTATGTAGTCAGCACCAAAAGCCGCGGTAAGCTATTTTGACTTAAGTTATGCAATTGCATATCTTAATTGGACTTTAGCCCTGCTGTGTAGATGTACCCATAGAGATTGATCTTGTAGGGACAGTGTGCTATTTTTAATCCCAGCCATTTTTTCTGCTATATCAGTCATTTCCTCATTCTAGATCTAATGGCCTTTCCTTATATCGGCACCTAAGCCAAAATGATTCTACTGTATATGGTGTGGGTGTGGGTGCGTTTGTACAGTGTGGTGTGTGTGGTGTTCTCCATAAGGGTACTTTTTACTACCGTGTTTGTAGGGATTGTGCCCAGGATGCACTTAGCCTTGTTTGTGATAATCAAGTGTGTTGTGCTCAAATCATTTTATCAGGAATATCCTGGTAGCATAATGCTCATAGCTAATTCTCTAAGGGTACTTCTACACTTGCCCCCTACTTCGAAGTAGGGAGACAAATGAAGCATGCCAAAGTTACAAATCAAGCACAGGATTTAAATATTCCGCACTTGATTAGCATATTCACTGCCAATCGCCATTTTAAAATGCCGGTCACCCGATGTAACTTGCCGCGTATAGATGCGGTAGTCCGATTTAAATCCCTTCCTCGAATTAACTGGTACTCCTTAACAATGAGGAGTACCAGTTAATTTGAGTTCAGGGATTTTTCTCAGAGTACCGCATCTATAAGCGGCAAGTTACATCAGGCTAGTCAATTTCCAAAATGGCAACCAGCTGCAACTATGCTAATCAAGCGTGGGATATTTAAATCCCATGCTTCATTAGCAACTTCGGTTGCCTTCATTTGCCTCCCTAGTTCGAAGTAGGGGGCAAGTGTAGACGTACCCTAACTCTCTTGACAGAGACCTAATTCAGGCACTGAGTTCTCTAACAAAAAAAAATGTATTACTTTGCTTGCTTTTCAGCACATTCCAAATATGTCATTTCTTTCACCTTTAAAATAACAGTCAGGAAGGCACCATAGCAGAGCAACTACTCAAAAGTCATACACAACTGAATGAAAGATAGAATTCCATTTTGGGGGGGGGGGGGAACATTTTACAAAAATATTTTTCCAAGGCTGTTAGAATCACGTTCTTTGTTACCCACTGAGAATTTTAAAGGTTCTACTTAGAACACCCCAAAACTAGGTGTAAAATATTCTTAGTCACCATTGCTAAGGAAGCAATGCTAAGACAATTATTTGAGAACCAAAAGTTTTGAGATTAAAAAAAAAACTAGAAAAAGGATTTGGTCAGTTTGTGGTCAAAGAAAGGGAGGTGATATAGACTGCATGTAATGTACATTGGCTTTCACTACCATTGCTGATAGAACAAGTTGAAACAAATTGCCTGCTATGGGTTGCAAACCAGAAGCATTTCCATTATGCAAGAGAGCTTGCATGACCAGGCTCATGTTGCTAAAGAAAACTCAGAATCAATGATGAACGAGAGGGCAACATTTCCACATTCTAAAATTAGTTAAACGTAATTCCCTCTCTCTTACACTAGTTCAGTTCAGTTGAGAATATTCCTAATCAATCGAGTTACAGTCACCATTGGTGCTGTTCTAGTTAAACAAATTTCTGAATACATTAAATGGATACAGTTGATCAACAAGTATCACTGTTTGGTGTGGATAAACAGATGTAGGCATATCTACTTATTTCTAGATTAATGGCATCGAAATAGTGGTGGAAATATGGAACACACTTTCATGTCATGTACTCGTATTGCAGAGACACAAGGGGATATGTTTTATATTCTACATGAACAGAATATGTATTTTGCATCTTAAATATATTAATAAACATGTTTTAAATGTTTAAGTATCTATGTATTACATATTTGTTACTTTGCAGAAGGTAATGTTTCTTTATCATGACACATTAATTTTTAGCTGCAAAGAGAGGTTTTTTTAATTGAATGAGATTGTAACTGGGCAGTCACTAAAGAGACTGTATTTTTGTATAATGTTGCAAGAGCTGTTTTGAAAATAAAATAAAATAAATTAATCTATGAAGTTTTATTTGCAGCCCAAAACAAAGTTACTGTCATGACCCTTCTCAAAATGTTAGATATATTGTATACAATCTGTATATATAATATATATAATGGTATATACTATGTGAAAGACACAGTAAAAATAATAGTTTCTGTGTACTGTTCTTGTAACATTAGACCTTTTTAATAAATAATTCTCTTTTTATTGACTTTTATCTTATGTCCTATCAGCTGCTGAATAGTATTTATTCAGGATATAGTGCTAGTAATATTGTGAATTCTAATAGAGACAGTTACTTGCTTCACGTGTCTTTCAAGAAGAAAATATGAATCTGCAGTAGTGTATCTGGAAAATCTGTCCAGTAAAATCAAAAGATTTTTTGATAGGGTGCCTTTATCAGTTCAAACATATGTTAATTTCTTCTGGGATTGTGTAACTTTTGTATTTAAATACAAAAAATACATGTAAAGCTACATCAAAAACTAAAACAAGTAAAGTCACAGCTGTTCCTAACAAACATTGCAAAAAGAATGTGCACTGGAAATTAGATTGTCTGAGACTCCATTTTTCTCTTTACTCTGAAAAGGACATAAGTTATAAGGAAGCCATCAAACAGGATTCCAAGTATATTGAGACATAAAACACATTTGGACTTCTTTACATTAGGCTTTGAGGTGTCACAACTATCCCTTAGGCACACAGGCGCAGAGGTGTGTCAGCTTTTTCATGTTACATTGAGGAGCCTGTTTGTTTTGTCTTACACTTCAAACATTTTGTGTAAAAAAGCACATGAATTTTTTCAATTGCCTTTTATTGAAAAAAGTAATTATGAAAAACCTCAAGTGTCTCTGTACAGTTGTAGCATGTCCTTTACCATTTACTAATTTGGTTTGTTTGTGAATTAACTTCAGTTATTGTTTTAGGACTAGGCTTGGCAGAATTTGATATTTTAAAATAATTTCAATATCTCTCAATGGCTATTTTTAAGTTCCTTTTTCAAATTATAGTGATTTACATCTTCACTATTGCAGGAAATTGGGATGGGGTCAGACAATCATTCTTAAAGGACAGTAGACATTGAGATCCAAAAAGTTAAAGCTTTGTAACTATTAAAATACATCACGTCAAAAGAAACAAAACAAATATACTTAAAACAAGCAAAATTTTTGTTACTTTCCCTATATGTAAATTTCAATTATTATTTGTTGGTTGGTGTGTGGGTAGTGAATCTGACATTTTAACAACATTTACCAATAAAAGTCTAATTCTTCTATGCTTATTTATAAAATGCATATTGATAAGGGCACACGACTTTGCAGCATAATAATGAGTCCAAAAACCCATTCTGGAAATAAATATAGATTGCTACCGCCACTGTTTGAACTGAGCTTTCAATTGCAAAATGGCTATTGCTTAAATAGCATATTATGTCAGGACTTCCATTAAATTAGCTATGAATGTCATAGAAAGCTGTAATGACCTGTTTTTGCTGATACAGTAACAGCACACATTGAAAATCCATAAACTAGCAGAAGTTCTATCAAACTATAATCAACTCTTGCCTTTGTATAGCCATCATCGTAACTCTTCTGAAGATGAAAGACAGTTTCCTTCTGAATTATGTCCGTTTTTCAGCAAAACAATGTCAGTGCTGAGAGAAAAGGAATAGTGTTGTATTACAGCAGGCTAACTCACTTCAAGCTATTAAGAACCTCCTCCCCAAGTTTATTTTCTAAGCCTGCTAACATGAGGCTGCTTTGTAGGCCTGAATAAAGGCATAACAGCTTTGAATATGAATGTCCTGAGCCCGCTGTTACTGATGAGTTTTCCATTCATTTCAATGGGAGGCTCCAATGTGTGTGTATTTTATAATATGTTAACTAAGCCAAAGGTGGCTTCTGAAATAAAAGCCACCTAGACTTGACCTGAATATCTTCCTGTGAAAAAAACTATTTGCTTGTAACTGCAATTTTCTAAGTGCACCTGCTTAGCAAAGGGGTTTTGGATTCTTAAACAGATTGGCTTAGTTGATTAGGTGAGTGACTGCTGGTCTTTCCTGTGCCCCTTCTCTGATGATTGGTCCTTCGCAGAGCAACCCAACTCACAGACTATCACTGGAAGCAAGCACTGACGATGCACTTTTCAAGGTTCTCGTCTCTGTCATCATAGGAGGTCACCTTTACTTTATTATCTTTTTTTACAATTTATTTGTCTGGTTAAGAGAAGCTTTTCTTTGGCTCATTTTGATTAAAAAAAAAAACCCTCTCTGATTCTAAATCCTAATTGCATAAAAAGATAGAGGAGTCTTATAAAAGATCCACGTCTCAAGATGAATTGCAAAGACAAGCAATAGACACTTCATCAGAAATGCAGGTGCTTAGCAGTCATACAGAATTTATAATAGGAAATTGAATCTGTTGCTGCTCAAGAATAGAAAACACGTCAATATGAAGACATTGAAAGTTTTTGAAGCATATCTGGGTCAAAGCTTTAGCAAGCACCAATCTACTGTTGACCTCGTGGTTGGCTGAGCAAGCTTTTCCATTTTATAATTATACTATTTCTTATCTGCTACAAATGGAACTTTTCAAGATGATGCGATGCAATAGCACTTTCTGGTCTCCTTTTAAAGCTCTCCCATGACATTGACCTAGAAATGTTGGCTCAGATCGGTCCCTCATTTTTGTGCAACACACACATCCAAATCTATCCTTGTTTTGGAAAGCCACCTTGGCTGTGACAGCCATTTTATATTTGTCCATGTTGAGAGTGAACAGCCTCACATGTGCTCTAGCGTGAAAATGAGTGCCCCTGTGTCCATTACATTATAAAATGTGTAAGCTGCCAGATTTTTGCATTTTTTCCTTTTAGTTTTGAAATATGAGAGTTCAAGAGAGCCCTGGGGGAAGCTATCACAGATTATGTTGTTTTCTCTTAGTCATCTTTTTACTTTAACATGAAGTGTAAATAGGTGATATTTGCTGATAATACTAAATTTGTTTTGGTTAAAGAAAACCTAAAGCTTTGAGTGAGACATACAAGTGAATTTTTGAAGAGACTCGACATAACATTACAGAGTTAAAAGACAGAAGGGACCATCAGAGCCTCTAACCTGAATTCCCATGTATCACAGGCTACTAATATCACCCAACACAAGCACACTAAGCAATTCAAATTAGACCAAAAGATGACTGCCCTCAGGGGACCTTACAATTATGTATCATAGTCAGAGAATTGAAGGGCTTGATGTGCCACAGGGGCTTAGGAGCTTGCGGTGGCAGATAACAGATTCAGTGACTTTACTAGAGGTAGTAAGTGCTAGCTACAATGTACAGTGACAAAAGTGATACATTTCCCGCCTATGTTGCTGGAGAGAAACTGCAGGTGTTTCTCCAGAAAATGACTCTGGTTGAAATCCAGGGCCTAGTGGAATCAATGGGAGTTTTACAATTCACTGTAGTGGGGCCAGGATTCAATGCTATGAATAAGCATAGCCAGCTTGTTGAGGAGGTAAGCCTGGTGTGCAGCACAAAGCAAACACCCAGTATGCTGAGTACGAGTACTGGAGAAATGACAGAAAATTCAGAAAGGTGTAAAGATAGTACAGCTAGGGATGATATAGCCATCTGTAATACTGGGCTTGATTAATCACTGCTTTACTCCAGTTTTACAATGGAGTGATGCCATTTGAATTCATTGTCATTTTATTGGGGGTAAAACTGGTGT